TATTTCTTCTCTTCTGCTGGGTTTGGGTTTCATTTGTTCTTGCCTTTCCAGTGCCTTGAGTTGCAGTGTTAGGTCATTTATTGGGTTCTTCCTAATTTTTTAATGTAGGCACTTAGAGCTATAAATGTCCCTCTTAGGACTGCTTTTAAAGTGTCCCAGAGGTTGTGTTGTATTGTATTGTCCTTTTTGTTGAATTCCAGGAGTTCTTTTATTTCTTTCTTAATTTCTCCTTTGACCGTCTCATTGTTTAGGAGTGTGTTGTTCATTTGCCATGAGTTCATGTAGTGCCTAGGGCTTTGTCCAGTGTTGATTTTGAGCTTTATTGCATTGTGGTCCAACAGAATACATGGAATTATTTCAATTTTTTTGCATTTGTTGAAGTTTGTTTTGTGGCCCAGTATGTGGTCAATTTTTGAAAAAATTCCATGAGGTGCTGAGTAGAAAGTGTATTTTTTGGTACTTGGATGGAATATCTTGGGTGGAATATTCGAAAGATGTCTGTTAGGTCTATTTGGTGTATGGTATTATTTAATTCAGATTTCTCTCTATCCGTTCTTTGTCCAGTTGGGGTATTGAAGTCCCCTACTATTACTGAGTTGGGGTTAATCAGTGTTTTAAAGTCCTGTAGTGTTGTTTTTATGAATTTTGGTGCACCAGAGTTTGGTGCATGTATGTTACAAATGGTAATATCTTCTTGGTTAACTGTTCCTTTGATCAGAATGAAGCGACCCTCCTTATCTCTTCTGATTAGTTATATTTTGAAGTCTATTTTGTCAGATATTAGAATTGCAACGACTGCTTGTTTCTTAGTGCCATTTGTTTGGAATATTCTTTTCCATCCTTTCACCTTAAGGTAATGTCTGTCCTTGAAGGTGAGATGGGCTTCTTGCAGACAGCAAACAGATGGAATTTGTTTCTTAATCCATTCACTTAGCCTGTGTCTTTTGACTGGGGAGCTCAGTTCATTGATATTTAAGGTTATTATTGAAAGATGTGCATTGGTTGTTGTCATTTTGATTGCTGTTTGTGTTCTCTAATTTTGTGTTTCCCCCATTATACCTTTATTTATTTTCTTTGCCCCTGGGGTACAGTTGTTTCTCTCTCTGCTCTCTGTATTGCCTCAAGTATTCTTTGAAGGGCTGGTTTTGTGGACATGTATTCTTTCAGGCTATTCATGTCATGGAAGATTTTTCTGTCCCCCTCAACTCTAATAGACATTTTTGCTGCGTAAAATATTCTGGGCTGGCATCTATTGTCACGGAGAACTGGAAATGCCTTGGTCCAGCCTCCTCTGGCTTTCATAGTTTGCACTGATAAGTCAGCTGTAATTCTGATGGGCTTTCCTGTGTATGTGACCTGTTGTTTTTCTTTTGCTGCTTTCAGTATTCTCTCTTTGTTCTGTACATTAGTGTTTTTACTATGATATGTCGTGGGGAGTTTCTTTTCTGATCTTGTCTGTTTGGTGTTCTATGTGCTTCCTGTATTTGTATGGTGATGTCTTTTTTAATTTCTGGAAATTCTCTTCTACAATCCTATTTAAGATCTCGTCAACACTATTAATCTGAAATTCTTCTCCTTCCTCTAAGCCTGTGATCTGTAGATTTGGTCTTTTCATGGTGTCCCACATCTCTTGCATATTCCATTCCTGTGTTTTAAAAAAAATTTCCATACTGTTTGCTTGAGTGGTCCAATTCTTCAACTTTATCCTCCAGTGTTGATATTCTGTTTTCAATTTCATTCATTCTAGCTGTGAGGCTTTCCCCTGTTGTTTCGAGTTGGCTTATTGAGTTTTGCACTTCCTTCTTCATTTCTGCCTGAGGTTTCTTCACTCTTTTGTGAACTCATTCAGAAGTTTATCCCTATCTTCTTTCAGTTCTTTGATTTGTTTGTTCATGTGTTCTTTAAATTCATTGAATTCATTGATCATGTTTTTTACTGTTCTTTTAAATTCAGTGTTTTGGGTTATCTCTAGGGGCTTCTCCTTATAGAACTCTTCTACAGGATTTGTGGAGTTTGGTGAGGACATAGAGTTTTAGTTTTCCACTTTATTATTCTTTCATTGTGATTTTGGCACGTGAATTTCTTTTGTTGTTTGTGATTCTGACATGAGAATTAAGTTGAAGTATGCTTCTGTTTGTATTATTGGTGTTCCTTGGTCCTTTTCTGATTGTTTATGTCGGTTTCTCTCAGGTTTAATTTGGAGGGAACTGATGGCTTCAGATCAGCTATTCAGGAGCACCCACAGAACCTCAATTCAAGTTCCAGTCAGGTACACTCAGGCTTCCTTCACCATGTGGAGGCAGGATCTGGGCGCTCTGAGCCAGTCCCCTGGGTACTCAGTTCCTCTGCCAGAGGGAGGCCAGAACTTGGCACTCTCTGGCGGTCTGCTGCGATCAGAGCCCCTACACCAATGGAGGTTGAAACCCACTATCTAAGACTGTCTGCTAAGATCTCAGCCTTAGCCTACCAAAACTAGATCTGCCCCGGGGCCTTGGGAGAGGCCTCACGAAATCCCAGGTAGGGGGATGGGTATGGCACAATTAGGGGAAGCTCACCACCATATTGAGGTAGGACCTGAAGTCTCTCAGGCAGTCCCCTGCATTCTCAGGCCCTCTGCCAGAGGGAGGCCAGAACTCGGGACTCTAGCAGTCTGCTCTTGGCTTGGCTACTTTAAAAAAATTTTTAAAATATATATTTGAGACAGGGTCTATGTACCCACAGCTGACCTGGAATCCACTACTTACTCTACTCACTATTGCAGACCAGGCTGCCTTGAACTCACAAAGATCTGCCTGCTTCTGCCTCCCAAATGCTGGGATTAAAGGAGTGCACCACCACGCCAGGCCCTTATTTATTTTATCTTTTTATGTGTATGAGTGTTTTGCCTACATGTATGCAAGTGCACCCATTCCTGCAGAGGCCAGAAGAGGGTATCAGGTCCCTTGGAACTGGAGTTAACAGATGGCTAGCTGCCAGGTGCAAACGAAACCCAGGTCCTCTGCAAGAGCAGAAAGTGCTCTTAAGCACCAAGCCATCTTTCCAGCCCCTCATGCATGGTTTTGTTCACAGTTTTTAATGTTGTTCTTTTTGAGACGGGGTCTCCTTATAGCCCCAGCTGGCCTGGAATTTGCTATGTAGACCAGGCTAAGCTCAATCTCACAGAGATCTGGCTGCCTCTGCCTTCCGAGTGCTGGGATTAATAGCATCTGCCAGTATACCTGACTCTTGTTCACAATTCTTAACCTGACTTTGTTGTTTTAAGGCAGGATCTCCTATAACTCAGGCTGTCTTCAAACTCAGGATGTAGCCAAGGCTGGCTTGATAGCCTTACTTCCACCTCCCAAGTACTGGGTGTATAGACATGCATCACTGCTGTTGGCTAGCTTGATTTAAAAAATATTTTTATTTTTAAAATAAAATATTTTTATTTTAAATTTTTATTTATAAATTTAAATTTTTTATTTTATGTGTATGTGTGTATTGCCTACATGTGTAAGTACACCCATGTTGTGCAATGCCCATGGAGGTCAGAAGAGATCATGGGATCCCTTGGAACTAGAGTTATGAACTGTTGTTAGCCATCATGTGGTGCTGGGAATCAAACCTGGGTCCTTTGCATGAGGAGCCAGTGCTGTTAACGGCTGAGCCATGTCTCCAACCCCAAGATTTTCATTGTGTGTATGAATTTGTGCATGTTGAGTGCAGGTGCCTGTGAAGGCCAGATGAGGGCTTGAGCTACCTGATGCAGGTGCTGGGAACTGAACTCAGGTGTGCTCTTAACGGCTAAGCCACCACTCCAGCTCTGCTAGCCTGACTTTTCAACCAGCTAATATGCTGGTTTGCAGGTTACACATCCCTGACCTGCTCTGAAATGCTTGAAGTCCGAGACTGCTGGAGAGCTGGTGGTAAGTGGGAGGCTCCAGGGCAGAAAGCTGGTCTCATGGTTATTAGCATGTTATAGTGAAGTACCATCAGGCCATGTGTGTAAGATACATGTGAAACATGCATGAACCTCATGTGTAGTCTTGGGCTCATCCTTAAAAGATCTCATCATGCATATGCAGATATTCCAGAATCAGAAAAATGCAAAATACAAACACTCAAAATGCCTAAGAATTTGGGACCAGGCATAGTCAACCCTCTAATCCCAACACTGGGGAAGGAGGTGGAGACAGGAGACCAGCCTGGACCACAGAAGCCTCTGCCAAGAAACGGGGGAGGGGAGTGTGGGTGAGACAGAGGGAGATGGTACAGAGGCTCTGTTACCTGATGTAGTCTGATGCAAGTTTAATTGAGACATATTACTGTATGTATTTGCTGGCTGCCCACTCCTTTATCTATGAATAAGCCAGTTTAAGGTTTGTTAAGTCGTGGATTCAGTGCGGCATGACTAAGCACGCATCATTAAGTGGTAACTGGCTGATTCTGGTATAAATCATAGTGGTGCACATTCACACACAAATGTTTTCTAGGGGCTAGAGAGATGGCTCAGCGGTTAAGAGCACATACTGCTCCCTCCAGAGGACCTGAGTTCCATTCCCAGCACCCACATCGGGCAGCTCACAGCAGCCTGTAACTCCAGCAGTGACACACAAGACACATATGCAGTTAAATGTTAATAAACAATAACAAACATGCCGGGCGTGGTGGCGCCCTCCTTTAGTCCCAGCCACTCGGGAGGCAGAGGCAGGCGGATCTCTGTGAGTTCAAGGCCAGCCTGGTCTACATAGTCAGTTCCAGGAAGCTGGGGCTACAGGGAGACCCTGTCTCAAAAAGACCAAAAAAAACAAAACAAAACAAAAATGTCTTCTACATTTGATTATTCTTCTAGGAGCTAAGTTCCTATAAATGGACCCTCTTGGATGAAAGGGCACACACACTTGTAAGGCTAATCTGGAAAAGCTGAAATGTGCGTGTGAAGGTTAAGTCAGATGAGTTAACACCTGCATGACCATAATCACACTAACCACCCCTTTCCCCTAATCTCTTCTTGTCTTCAGGCTCAGTACGTACTAATCTCTCCTGAAGTAAGTATCGTCTGAAGGTCTGAGGAAAAATAAAGCCCCCTTGCGCTTACTTCAATGGCTGAACCATCTCGTGTGTTTTACAGGCAAGTTCAAGGTTTGGGAGCTCACTGATCGCTGTGGGGCCCAAGGGGAAGGTGAGTACACCTCACTGTGACGTCTGTTTGTCCTAAGGCCAGGGTCTGATCACTTAAATTTTACACTTTTATTAGGTATCTATTTCGAAAAAGAAAGTAACATTCATACACACCTATTGCTTTGCAGTTTTGGTTACCTTTATTTATTTTTGAGGTGTGTTCATCATGCCACAAGACTGTATGTAGAGGTCAGAGGACAATTTGCAGAAGTCAGTTCTCTCCTATCAAGCGGGACCTGGTGAACGAACTCAGGTTGTCAGGCTTGGCAGCAAACATCTTTACCTACTAAGCCATCTCATCAGCTCCCATCACATTTTTTTTTTTTTTTTTGAGACAGGGTCTGCCTGTAGCCCCAGCTGGCCTGAAACTTGCTATGTAGATCAGGCTGCCTCTGCCTCCCAAATGCTGGGATTAAAGGTTTGCTCCTTCAAGTCCGGCTCCTATCACATTTAAGTACCTCCTTTCTCCTGTTTCAAACCCTACAACAGGGGTTTGGCAAAGTACAGCCCACAGGACAACTATATTTGACTTTGATTTATGGTCGTGAACTAAAAATGGTCATATTTAAATAGTTTTAAAAAACAAGGAGGTGGGGCTGGACAGATGGCTCAGGGGTTAAGAACACTGGTTGTTCTTGCAGAAGACCCAGGTTCCAATCCCAGCACCCACGTGGCAGCTAACAGCTGTCCGTAACTCCAGTCCCAAGGGATCCAACAGCCTCTTCTGACCAACATGGGCATTGCACAACACGGGTGCACTTACCTATGTGCAGGGAATACACACATACACATCAAATAAAAATAATAAAATTTAAAAAAAAACGAGGGGGCTGGAGAGCAGACTCAGTGGTTAGGAGCACTGGCTGTTCTTGAAGAAGACCCAGCCTCAAATCCCAGCACCCACACGCCATCCACAACTCCAGTTCCAGGGGATCCAATGCCCTCTTCAGGCATTGCATGACATGGGTATACTTACATACATGCAAACATAACACTCATACACATAAATAAAACCAGGAATATTTTCATGAAAGTCCTATGAGGTTCAAATTTCAGGGTTCATGTGTCAAGGGTGCTGCTGTCTGGATATGGTGTTGGGGCTCCAGCTTGGCCGCTGCACATGCTCCTCCCTGGCCTGTCTACCTGTCACCACACTAGAGGGCCACTTCAGAAACAGTCATGTCAAAGATAACCCACACAGCCTGAAGTGTTACCTGACCCTCGCCCATTTTCCATCCAGACTGTTTTAAAAGATATTTTAAAATTACACTGGGTATGGTGGTGCATGTCTTTAATTCCAGCACTTGGGAGGCAGAGGCAGGCAGATCTCTGTGATGTCAAGGGCAGTCTGGTCTCCACAGCAAATATCAGGTGAGCTGGGGCTACAGGAAGACCATCTCAAAAGACAAAAAAACCAAAAAAATACCTTGCATGTGTGTGCATGGTGTGTGTGCATGGTGTGTGCATGCCATGCCACAGCAGTGTGCGGTCAGAGGATAACTTGAAGAAGTCGGTTCTCTCCTTCCATTGTGTGAGTCCTGGGGATTGAACTCAGGTTGTCAGGCTTGACAGCAAGTATATTTACCCACTGAGCTACCTCCTGGCCCCCTTGTTAGCCTTTAAATGACTCTAGAGAAACACTATGGTTTCCCTCTTTAAAATTTTATATGTATATGAGCATTTTGCCTGCATGTATGTTAGTGCACCCATGTCATGCAATGCCTCCCCTCTAACTGGAGTTCCAGATGGCTGTCAGCCATCATGTGGTGCTGGGAACCGAACCTAGGTCTCTGTAAGAGCAGCCAGTGCTCTTACCTGCTGAGCTATTGTCCCAGTCCTGGCCTAAAAGATTTATTTTCTAATTGTGCGTGTGTGTGTGTGCGTGTGTGCGTGCGTGCGTGTGTGCGTGCGTGCATGTGTGCGTGCGTGCATGTGTACGTGCGTGCATGCTCGCAGTGTCTGCAGAGGCCAGAGGCATGGGATCCCCTGGTGCTGGAGTGTAGGCGGCTGTGAGCTGCCTGACGTGGTGCTGGGATCGGAACTCAAGCTCAGGAACGCTGGGAAAACAGCACGTGCTCTTAACAGCCGAGGCACCGCTCCAGCCCCCATGGTTCCATTGCTGGCACTTTTGCTCCCTCTGAGACAGAGCACGGCCTGATTTGTCTTCAGAGCTGCACAGTTCTGTTGGACATGTCACAGCCCAGCCCAATTCACGTTCTCACGCATAGGCTCTTCGCTTACTACTGTCACGTTTTACACTCACAGCCAACGCTGCAGTGAGCACTCTTGCTCACACTGTATATAACTGCAAATGTCCTTGTAGGTGAGCTTAGTAGTGAGACTGCTAAAGGACATACACTATGTTTTAATAAACAGATTAAAAAACTTCACCTTAAGATGATACGTCGCCAAAGAGCTGGGTGTGGTGGCTCACATCTGTAATCTTAGCCCCCGGGAGGCTGAGGTAGGAGTTCCAGGCCAGCCTGGGTCTCAGAGTTTCGAATCAGCCTGGGCTACAGGGAGACCCTACCTTAAACAGAACAAACAGCACTAAACCATTCATTCATTTTAGGATACGATGTTGTGCAGAACTAGACTAAGAAAAGACAGCCCCTGCTCTTGAGAAAACAGCCCTACACACAGGAAGGCAAAAAGCAGGTTGTCACAGGACTGAATGCTGAAGGGGTAGTTATGGAAGGCTGTGAGTCCTCAGATTCCAGAGCTCTGGGCAGTCTTTAAGGCCTGGGGTGCAGGGGACACAGGCTGGACGTGTGACACTCAGGGTCCAACTGCCCTCTAGCGGCCAACAGCTCTTGTTGGCACACTTAACAGGAAGCCCAACAAAGTTCACGGTTTAACGAAGTACAACTAGAAATATTAAGCTTGTGAAGGATTCTCCAAAGGGTACTTTATCAAAAATTTGGTATTTATTGAAAATTATATGCATTTTCCAAAAGTTAGACATTCATGTGTTGATTAGAATCATACACATACCAACCGTAGCACTGATAAAGATTGCCTAAAAGTAATTCAGTCAGTTCCTTCTGCAGTGCTGTGAGTTCACCTTCCTAATTATGTTTTGCTTGTCACAATTAAAAGTCCCCACTTTCCAAGCTCACACCTGAACTATGTCCTGAGTCTAAACGGAAGTCAGGGTGGCATTTCCCCAAGTCAGGGCTGAGGACTGCTTCCTGGGACAGTCAGCACGGCCTTTCCCTGGGACCTGGATCAGGACTCAGACCACTGTGGAACTAGTAGCCTTGGCATTTATAGGGGAGCACAGCCACTGGCTCCATGCTTGAGCCTTTCTTGAGACTGCTGTGTGTGTCAGAGCTGTGATGTTGGGCATCAGGGGTGGACAGAGCAGACATGGCCTGGCCTCCCGCTTACTGCTTAGGTGGAGGAATAAAACAGCCAGAAGACTTTGATATCAATGTACAACAGCCCAGAGCCAAAGACAGCGGCTGTCTGTGCTGGCCAGTCGAGGATGCTGGCAGGTGGAGGGAGCCCACCGGCCTTGAGCTGCTTCTGAGATTAGACTTTGACGAAGTATACACAGTATGCAGCCAGGAAGGGTTGATTTTAGGGATGAGCACGGTTTGACCGGAAACAGAAAGGACTCTGGTCACTGCCAAGTTAGGAACACATTTAGTAAATCTGTGCTAAGAGGAGAAAAATTGCTATTTGTTTACTGAAAAGGTCAGTTTTCTCTTAGGAGGTAATTGTGGGTGGTGAGAGTCTGCCCAGAATGACACACAGTAGGGCCTCAATGCATTTTAGCCATTACCTTCACCTGAGTTGTCAGTGGTGTTACCATGAAAGCACTAAGGTAACCTGCCGCACCCTCCTCTGACCAGAACACAAGCGGCCGTGATTGGCCAGCCCTCACTAACAGCCCTGGTTCAAAGTGACTTTTGACACTTTCCAAAAATCAAATCCAAGCACAAACACCTGAAGCAAATTTTGAAAACGGCCCTAAATGTGCCAAGCAGCAGGGATGAGCTGTGGAGGCAGCCGTGGTGTCTTCGTTATGCCAGCGTAGTCCACACTGCAGCAGAAAGCAGACTCTGGAATAAACACACTTACGTACGTGTCCTTTTTTTTTTTTTTTTTTTTTTTTTGTGAGACAGGGTCTCCCTGTAGCCCCAGCTGTCCTGGAACTCGCTATGTAGACCAGGCTGGCCTTGAACTCACAGAGATCTGCCTGCCTCTGCCTCTTGTCCTTTTTAAGTGCAAGGTGGTTGTGAGCTGGGCATGGTGGTGCCCGCTTTTAATCCCAGCACTTGAGAGGCAGAGGCAGGCAGATCTCTGTGAGTTCAAGGCCAGCCTGGTCTACATAGTGAGTTCTAGGCCAGCTGGGGCTACAGGGAGACCTTGTCTCAATAGAGTGGTTGTAGTGAACTTCCTGAAAGCTACATATCTGAGAAAGTGGTGTGTGAACCAAGGGACGAGCTTAGGCTGGAGCTCCGGGGTCTGGGCCCTGTTGCTTCCCCTCTGCATGTCCAGAACATAGCACACCTGCTCTGGGAGCATGGATGTCATGGTCATGACAGCTGTCTGTGTTGTGTCTACAGAGCCAAGTGGTGGTTGCTGCAGGGAGGAGTTCCTGGGGAGCCCGCCTCTCAGGGGCATTGCACGTCTACAGCCTCAGCTGATTGAAGGCCGCAATCCACTCTTCAGCCCTTCCCTCTGGGGCCCTCATCTCTAGGGTGGACATGGTGGCCCCGAGAGGAGCTGTGGTGAATCCTGACAGAGGTGGGGATCCTGGGACAGCCACCCAGTCAGGCCACGTGTGGACACACGAAGTTGGAAAGCAACAGGCACTGTGGGGTTTATGTCTCCTTCAAGGCTCTCTTCCTCATCTCCATTGTGTCTATACCACCCTTGCTGTGCTTCCTGCCTGTGCTCAGGACTGAACAGCGCACTTCCTCTTCTGCTCCAATGCTCTCCTCTCTCAAACCTGGAAAGGTTATGGTTAGCTCTCAGGACTCTTCCAACTTTTTTAAAAAACACTTGTTAGCTGGGTGTGGGGCTACAGAGACCCCGTCTCAGAAAACAAAACCACCGAAACACTTTTGTTGATGGGCACACCTTTACTCCCAGCAGGTGGGGCAGCAGAGGCAGTTGCATCCCAGGTGGAGGCTAGCCTGGTTTGCTCATCTGTCGGAGGCTAGGCCCCCAGCTGACAATGCTGCTGGCAGGTGGTGGGAACTTTGGGGTGAGACCTGGTCTGGTGGGGGAAGTTGCATCATCAGAGTGTGTCCTTATCCTGTACTGGGACTCGGGTGCTCCCTGCTCTCTGCTTCCCCACTGCTTGAGGTGAGCAGCTTTCCTCTGCCACACACCTGGGCCACAATGTACTGCTGCACCACTGGCCCCAAACCCAGGAGCTGACTTTATTGAAAGCATGAGCCAAAATAAACATTTCCTCTTTTTAAGCTGTGCATCTTGGGTATTTTGTCACAGAGACAGAAGTTGACTTTAGCTAAAGAATACTAAAAAGCATAGTGTACAGTGGAAACACGGGGCAAGAGGAAGAGCCACACGTCCATCATCCACCGGTCCTCTCTCAATGAGGATCCATTTCACATTAAACAGTGAAGCTTGTGCCCTACCCTGCCCCGAGTCTGTGGAGACCGTGTTCCAACAGTGAGAGCCTCGCCACTGTTGGGAGAGAGACGTCATCCAAAGCCACACAGGATCATGTGGAGAGAGATCCATGACCTAGTGGGAGCTGCACGCCACAGATGTCCCCCTGGAGCTCCTTCTCTGTCATTCTCATGGCTGCACAGTGACTTAAAATGGACACCAAAGAGCAGCTTCCGAAGCTTGGGGGGGCACAGGAAACAGGAAGTGACATTTGCTCACACAGGCACCTGGAGCCACCTGCTTGCTCTGAGGTGTGTACAATTCATGACCTGCTAGGGGCAGCAAGGCACTCGGGACACCTGACTGCTTGGGAAATAATTACTGGCTGCTCAACCTACTGAACAATTATTCTTAATTAAGCGAGGTAATTTTGGGGGACAGGAATTTAGTATATATATTCATTTATGAGTCGAGCAGCTGTAACATACAACAGACACACTGGAATGACACCTGACACTGCATTCTAGAAAAGACTGGTTAGGAGCATCTGCCTTCACACTGCCACTACCATAGAAGTGTCCCTGTTCATCTTGTTACATAAAGCAGCAGATGTACTGGGTGGAGCCCAGGCTGTGCACACTAGGCTCTGTGCACACCAGGCTCTGTGCACACCAGGCTCTATGCACACCAGGCTCTGTGCACACCAGGCTCTGTGCATGCTGGGCAGCGCCACCACCGCACTCACCCAGCCCCCTTTGCTCTGCTGACCGACCGTCTGCATCTGAACTCGGTCACTATTTGCCTCAGGGCTGTATTTGGCTCAGTGTCTGATCACCGAGTTGCAAGCACTAGGTGAAGCTTACAAGCCTCTGAAGACGGAGGATGCCAAGCTTACAGGACAGTTCACCACACTAAGCCCACTGGCAGATGCAAAGTAAACAGTGCGCCCACTTGAAGATCAACCTGTAAGCAAACTGAAAACCGGGACAGAGAAAAAAATTGCACATGACAATCTAAGGCATCATCTCACAGGTGGATTAAAATTTGCTTCCACTGAGCACTAACAAATTCTGAGCATCGTTCTGAAACGCGGAAACAAATACTCCAGGGTCTCCTCACTCAGCAACGTAAACTGGTGCAAAAGTTAACTCTGCGATCTTTACTTCAGATGCCAGACCACATTAACATACTTGGTCTCTTTTCTGTGATCTAACACCTTTCTTCAAGAAGGAATGGCTTTATTCTCCCGGACTGAGCTGGAGGGATTGGGGTGGGCTTGGGAGCAGCGCCCTGGCCTCTGTGATCCCCAGTCCGGCATCGGCTCTATGGCTAGCGAAGTTGGCAAAGCAAAACGTAAGCTCAAGTGCTGCTTCGGCACTGCACCTCCGAAGTCAGAGCTGCGCAGCTCAGGCAGCGCCTTTCTGACAAGCAGCTCCTCAAACAAAGAGCTCCTCGGTGAGAGGTTTGCTGGGCACTTCACAAGAATAAAGCCAGGATTGATCGGTTCATGTATGTCCCTGCTTTGCCCACACTGGCTTGGATGCCCTCTGAAGGGTTGGTTAAAAATGTCATGCCAGGTCGGGCATGGTGGCACATGCCTTTAATCCCAGCACTCGGAAGGCAGAGGCAGTTCAAGGCCAGCCTGGGCCCAGTGAGCTCCAGGATAGCTGGGGCTACAGGGAGACCCTGTCTCAAAAAAAAAAAAGGTAAAAAAGTCATGCCTAAACCGATGTGACATGCCTTTAATCCCAGCTTGGGAGAAGAGGCAGGCGGATGGATCTCTGTGAGTTTTGGTCAGCCTGGTCTTCACACTGAGCTCCAGGCTGGAGAGGCCTATATAGTGAGAACCTGCCTAAAAACAAAAACAGAAACCATGCCTGGGCACTCAGTGCTCACACATAGCTGCATAACCCCTACTTTTAGTATTTTATCACGTTTCCTTTTCATAGTAGTTACATTCAGAAATCCTACCTGATCTAACCACCTTTAAGAACCTTACAAACCACCCTCTTTTCAGACTTAGTTACATCATCCTTCCTCTTACCCCAGGGTATGACTAATCAAGGCAGTTCTACCCCAAGTTCATTAAGTAACACAAAGCAAAGTCACAAATTGGGCCTGACCTGGAATCAAAGTTCACCCTCTAGGATTCCAATTCTTTATGTCGCAGTCCGGTAAAGTCTACTAACCACAGTGATAAAATCAAACACAAAAAAGTTAGACGAGCTGTGAAATCCAGCTGCCCAGGGACTCCCGTCCTTAGAGGCTCTACACGTTCACTTTCCAGCAGCTCACCAACATGTTTCTGACCTACAGTGAGTGGCGAAGGGGCCTCTGAGCCTGGACACCAAGACCCGCTTCTCAGCCCCACCCAGGAAGAGAGAAAGCTCACCGTTTCCTACTGGAGTAACATTTTCATTCCCATTGCGAAATGACCCAGCAAAGGACCTGCGATGTCCTGACATTGCTAGCATAACTGGGAACCAACACCTCTGTGGGACCCAACACTGCTGCTCTGGTGCCTGCAAGGTCCTTTCTAGATCTCACAAGCACATGGTATAGCTAATTGTAATGTTCTGGCACATGAACTGTGCTGAGCCTTCAGAAAATACAGGAAGGCAGATGCAGTGGTGAGCAGGTCTGTATACTTTGCAGTGCTGGGGACTGTACCTGTGGCTTTGTGTGTGCTGGACAAGGTCTGTCACTGGCAACACTTTCAGCCCTATTTTATGTATTTATTTATTTGGTGTTTTGAGATAAGGTATATCCTGTAGGCCAGGTTGGCCTGGAACTCACTGAAACTCTTGACAGTCCTCCTGCCTCAGCCTCATGGGGGCTGCAATTCTAGGTGGCAAGTCAATCATGGTGCAGCTCAGCTATTTGTTTTAAGCTTGGCGTTCTGACGTTAGCTTTGTTTACAAGCTCACCCTTAATTTTCGAGAGGTGGCATACAGGTTAGCTGGGCTACATGCACTTTTTTCTTGGTGGGGAAGGTGGTATAAAAATCTCTAAAATCAGACATGATCAAAATAGGTATAAAATAGTAACAAACTAGAAACAGTTTCTTTTAACTTTACCTCCAAAGGTTCTATTATAACCACCAAAGGAAAAAGTTTGGGGTATTAAAAAAGAAAAATCTTGATTGACTGGAATCCAGCCACATAAATGCTAATATTAAGTTATCCTTTTTTTAATTTATCATACATGAAAGACAGCAAATACCTGAAAATAAGGTTCTGTCAAGAAAGTGTTAGAGCACAAACTTCTGCAGTGTGCTTCAAGATTAACCCAGAGTTTTCTGCAAGGTTAACAGACAGGCTTTTCTCCCCAGTCAGGAAGTTCCCGGGAACAATTCCAAGCTGGCCAAGCTCCTGGCCCTCCAGCAGGAGCTGCACTTAGTCTGCATAATCACACGGGACCTAGAAGCCCGTCCTGCAATAAGGTGATCTCTCCACGCCTTCTGCTATAAAACAGTGCTCAGGTGGGCAGGGAAGACTGTTGGCCTTTTGCAGAGAAAGTCCTGGGCCACAGAACTCTGGAGAGGCCATGAGTGTTGGTACTCTTCCACAGCACTTTAGTGCAACATGATTTAAACATCAGTGATTTTTTCCAAGTGTGTGACTTTAGCTTCAGGAGTACCCGCCAGGCTGTGGCTAGCGGCCGGCTAGGACAGTCCTGCTTGATCCGAGTCCTTCTGACCGGAGGCCGTTTTTCATGTCCATCCTCCTATCTGCTAGAAGGGTCTTTTTAGGTAAGGAGGCCATCTAAACAGAGGAAGAAAGGAAGTTCAGTTTGTGTCTTGGGAGAAAAGCCAGCAGCAAAATGGTAACGAGGGCCTCGTCCTGCCAGTCTGAAGCACCCACTCCAAACACAGAGGGCACCACAGTGCTTCCTCATTTCACCACGGTCATGAGAAACCCTGCACCACAGTGCGGAGCGCAGCCCGAATGGACAATGCTTCCAGTGAGTGCTGCCTGCACGGCATGCTACACGCATCACCTCATCTAGTTCCTCCAGTCAGAGAAGGACGCAGTACCGACTGGAGTAGTGGAGGGGAACTAGGGAGCGAGAAGAATGAACTTGCACAGGGTTACTAAGATTGTGACAGCTGAAGCCCAGGCCACTTGACTCCAACCCTGGGACTAGAACCCTGACCCTGCAGTGCTGCTGTGAGCCCCGGCCTCCTACCAGAGGGGGCAAAGGTGCTTCCAGCTGTCTTCCAAGGAAGGAAAGCAGTCGCCTCCAGATAAGGCCACTTCCCAAAAACATAATTCCTGTAATCAGCCAAAACACCCGATGGTCCTGAAAGAGAACAGAGTTTGCTTATCACAAAAGGTTAGGTCTTGGAGGGAAATTTTCCTCGGGGTTTTGTTTAAAGGAAGCGTTCTGTTGTCCCAAGGGCTTATCTCCACAGAAAGGAACTAAGAACAGTACTGCGAGGACTGCGAGCCGAAGACTGAGACCCAGGGGACAGCGTCACCTCTCAAACATCCCAGGAATGCACACAATGAAGCCACCAGGGTATGTTAAGGCAAGGCTTTGCCTTGTTACCAGGGGGGCTTTGAATTCCTGGGCTCAGGAGATCCTCCTGCCACAGCCTCCCCAGCAGCTGAGTACACAGGTGTGCCGGCTGCACAGGTAAGACCCAAGAACTAAAACACAACAAAAACCCTTGGGTTTTGTGTCTTTGGAAAAATGGGCATTGAGAAAAATATTAAGAGTTAAGTATAAAACAATTAGTTAGGGTTGCTTATCCCTTATCTGAAATCCTTAGGACCAAACATATTTTAGACTACGGATTTAGGACACTGATTGAGAAAATGGCATTTTTTTTTTGGAGTCAAAATATAAAACTTGGATTTCATATGCCCCCATCTGTGTATATTAGTCCAAAGGTGATTTATACAATGTTTTTACTTTTTTGAGACGGGGTCTTCCTGTAGCCCCAGCTGGCCAGGAAATCAAAATGTAGACCATGTTGGCCTCGATCCCACAGAGATCTGCCTGCCTGTCTCCCTAGCGCTGGGATTAAAGGTGTGTGCGTCCACACCCCTCATACAGTATTTTTAGGGAATGTACATCTTAACTGACACCAGATGAAATTAGCTGTGGAGTTTCCCACTTCGGGTCATGCTAGCACTCACAAAGCTTAGAATTATGAAGCATCTCCTCTTTTGAGTTTTCAGATTTTAACCTGCATTTGGTATGTGATTTCTTTTTTCTCTCTTTATTTTTTTCTTTTTTTTTTTTTTGTTTTTTTTTCCTTTTCTTTTGCTGTGATTTTTTTAAACAAGCAAGAAAAAAAAAGTTTATATTTTACATGTGTGTTTTGCCTGCATGTATGTAAGTGCACTATGTACATGCAATGCCTGTAGAGGCCAGAACACATTGGATCTCCTGGAAGTGGAGTTAAGGATGGTTGTTAGCCGCCATGTGGTGCTGGGCCCCAAACCTGGGTCCTCTGCAAGAGCAGCCAGTGCTCTTAACCACTGAGCATCTCTCCAGTCCCTGTCAGACTTGAGCAGTGAGTAGGAGTTAACCAGACAACGAAGGTGGCTTGAGGAGGCGTGGAGCCAGCATTCCGAGAAGAACCCAGAAGGAGCAGCCTGCCGGAGGGGCTGCAGGCCCAGGAGGAGCCCGGGATCCAGAAGCTAACCACACGTCGGAACACCTGAGTGCGGAAGTCTGAGCCGGTCTCTACTCTTTATTTATTTTTGTCTTTTTGAAGCAGGGTCTACTCACTATGTAGACCAGGCTGGCCTTGAACACACAGAGATCCGCCTGCCTCTCTGCCTCCCAAGTGTTGGGACTACAGGGGTGTGCCACCACGCCCGGCTTTATTTTTAAAATGTGTTTATTATTTTGATTCTGTGTGTATGAGTGTACTGCCTGCATGGAGATAGGCACCTCCATGTCGTGTGATGCCTGCAGAGGAGGGTGTTTGATTTCCTGGAACTGGAGTTTTGGATGGTTGTGAGCTGTCACGTGGGTGCTGGGACTCAAACCTGGGTCCACTGCAAGAGCAGTCAGTGCTCTTACCCGCTGAGTCATCTCTCCAGCCCGATAATGTCTTTTACAGACCACCTTTACAAGTGTGTGGTCCTGATGAGGTGACATTAGACAGACCAGAGTGGCAGAAATGACAACCGGGGACCAGACAGCAGAGCTGGCTGCACCCTGGGATCTCTGCTACAACCCTCTGAAAACACAAGGTGGCAGCGTATAGGAGCCCTGGGAGTTCAGTGCTGTGTGGGTGCGGAAAGGCAAGAGCGAGCACCTCTGGGTTGGACTAGGTCTGCAACTTCAATCTTCTGAGCCTACTTTCCCATCTGTAAAGCAGGGAGTGCCCATTTTCAGAGCTATGAGACCGCATCCAACGAGCCCTCTGAAGGTCTGACAGCTAGTCCTCAGGGTCACCCTGACTAGATTTAATCACCCAGGACACAGGTCTACAAGGGTATTCCTGGACAGGGAAGTGCCACTTGCTTCCTGATGTGGACACTGTGACCAGCCACCTCATGTTCAGCCACCATGACAGACTGTATCCTTCTTAAAGTGTGGGTCAAAATAAACCTGTCTGCGGCTGGAGAGATGCTCAGCAGTTAAGAGCACTGGCTGCTTGTGCAGGGGACCGGGGTTCGACTTGCAGCACCCATGCTGAGGCCAACAGCTGCCTATAACTCCAGTTCCTGGGGAGCTGACACTCTTCTGACTCCCTCGGCCACTGTGTGCCATGGGTGTACTTACACACATGCAGGCAGTACCCTCATATACACAACAAGCTAGAAAACCTCCCTCCCTCCTGCCGCTTTGCGGGGGCTTTTTGTCACAGCAATGAGAAAACACAGCAGGTCACACTTAAATAAAAACTACCAATTTTCTAAATTAGGACTTAAAAAAATCCTCTAAGTTCTTACAATAATATTCTTACCTCTTCAAGGGAAGACTCCAAATTCATCCCAAAAGCAACTCCCATTAGTCCAAAGAGTGAGAGGGAGAAGGTCCCCATGGTCAGCTGCAGGTTTAACCTCATCATCACGTTGCGATGGCTGGAGGGAGGACACCAACTCAGTCAGAAAACAGGAAGCTGCCTGCAAACAGCTCCTACGACGGCTAGCACCGCCAATGCAAAAGGACTCAGAATCACCACGGGCGAACCTCCAGGCACGTCTCTGGGGTTTCTCGATTAGGCTGAGCTGAGCAGAGCAGACCCATCGACAGTGGGCAGCCCCACCCCCTGGACTCAGGTTCTGGATGGTGATGGGAGAAAGCAAGCCGAGCACCAGCATCATCTCTCTAACTGACCGTGGACAATATGTGACCAGCTGCCTCCAGTTCCTGTTGCATGACTTCCCTACCAGGATGGACTGTTCCCTGAACTGTGAGTCCAAACACACAGCCCCCCTCCCCAAGTTGCTTTTGTCAGGTCCCAGTAATGTGTAAGGTAACGAACACAACCCTACTACTGTGGACCAGTCAGATGTGAGGGCGTGAGTCCCTCCAAAATGGTATCACCTTAACTTAACTGCTTTGTAGTAATTATTTTATGTCTTTGTTATTTTTATTTTATGTGTATGAGTGTATTGCCTGCATGTATGTAAGGGCAACTGTGTTATGCAATGCCTGTGGAGGACAGAAGAGGGTCACCTGGAACTGCAGTTATGGATGGTTGTTAGCTGCCATGTGGGTGTGGGATTTGAACCCAGGTCTTCTGCAAGAGCAGCCAGTGCTTTTAACCGCTTAGTCACCTCTCCAGTCCCTGTTTTTGTTTTTTGAGGCAGGGTCTCCCTGTAGCCCCAGCTGTCCTGGAACTCAATATGTAGACCAGGCTGGCCTCATAGAGATCTGCCTACCTCTGCCTCCTGGGTGCTGGGATTAAAGATGTGTGCCACGACACCTGGCTTGCTTTACAGTATTTTATAACCAAAGTCCTCTCAGTGCTCTCTTACCTGTCTAGATTGATGAAGATGATGCTCTGTGAGTCATCAATGAGAACCCTCAGCTCCCGGGCATCATTGGAAAGATCCTCAGCTAGGCGGTAGTAGTTCTCCAGCAGCAGCTCCATCTCCTCTGCGTGGTCGATCCCAGAGCTGCTCTTCTCACTTCAAAGAGTTAGCACAGTCACCTCAGTGTGCGCTGTGTGTCTGTTGCCCCAACCAGCTGCCAGTCAGCTAGCCTTTTCTGATCTGTTGTGCTTAAGGTCCATCTGTGCAACACTATGCCAACTGATCCTGACTCCCAACAGTCAGCTCCTTACACAGTCTATTTAGGTTGCTGTGTACCATGGCCCTAATCCAAGAGACCCATGTAAACACAAGCCACCAGTTACTGGAAAATGCAAATCTTAACGCCAATGAGTTAGTGCAAATCCTAAACCACAGCCCAGTACAAGAAAACCCAAACTCAAAATAGACATAAACGCATTTCCCCGGGACACAACCTAGTGCAGTGGCAGCTGATCTCCCGGGAGGGCGAGCAGGGGGCTGTGACACCAGCGTCCCTGAGCATATCCCAGAGCACTGGGCTCCAGTTTCTCTGGACGACGTTGTTCTGACCGCAGCTGAGACACAACTTGGTATCTCCTTCCCTCTGAGCTCTCACCAGTCAAACATGGCAATCTGGGAGATGTTAGAGCCACACTGAGTCAGTTTGCTGCCTCTACTCGGCCATCTTGGAATGATGATGTGTGATGGGGGGGCGGGGTGTTCCATGTTTTGTCTTGGGGGAGTTTTTTCTTTTAAAAATTAATTAAGGAATTATTGTGTGCATGATGTATGGGGGTGATGTGTGCCATAGTGCAGGTATAGCGGTCAGAGGACAACCCTGTGGAGCTGGTTCTCTCTTGCCTTTATGTGGGTTCCAGGGATTGAGCTCAGGCTTGCGCACCAGCACCTTCCCCTACTGAGTGCCTCACTGACCGTCTTCCTTGTTTTTAGCTAATGGAGGGATGAGTACTGAGAACCGAGCCCTGTCTGGGAGTGCACTGTGTTGCACGCTGTGTCACACCGTCCTCTGGGCCTCTGCCGGGAAAGTAGACTCTAGTCTCCATTGTCTTCCAGTGCACCTCCTGGTACCACAGTGAGGACAGAGTGGCTGCACGGGGGAGTGTCTTGGTGGGCACAAGAGTACTGACCACACCTCATTAGAACTGGTTAAATGGTTTCTAATCGTAGAATGCGCCTAAGCGGTGAGCTTTTATAATCGACCCAATTTCCGGGGTCCATGCTCTCTCTTCGTTCCCCCTCTCCATGTGACTGTCTTGCCCTCCCTTCCACTCTGATTCCTAGGGAACATGGTTCATCACGTGTGTGTGCCATCTGGTGGCCGGTCCCTGGAGAATAACTGCTGCTTGCACCCTCCTCAGCCCTCACACCCTCTCCAGGCTATCAATGTGGCTGGAGAGAAAAACTCCTATACTCCTAGTTCAGAAAACGGTAGGCTATGAAAAGTCACTCTGAAGAGGAGGAGCATAGAATCACCAGGAGGACACGAACACCACGAGGCTGTACTCACAAGACCTGGGGGTCACTCCACTTGGTCAGACAGAGCTCTTCCAGCATCTCCTCTTCATCCAAAATCTCCAAAATTGACTCTTTGAAGATTTTAATGTCTGTTTCTAACTCAGAGAGACTGCAAGAATAGTTGCACAGAGACTATCAGTGGTGTCAACTACTAGAGTAGCAGGAGAGCAGAGCATCTCGGGGCATCTCCCATGCTGACCCACTAACACTCACTGTACACCGACTGACGGATATTTCAATTATAGAAATCAGTCATTCCTGAAGCTGAACTACTTGGCAAAACTAGTAGCTGAAGCAATGCCATCACCTGATTTGGTGGCTTCCAAGGTTACCTGTTCTGATTTAAAGTGTTTTGCCATATTTATCCTTAGCTAAGAGCTAAGGATGGGATTGGAAGGTGGCTTAACAGGCATCTTGTACACATCATAGGCTGGTTGGTAAGAAAACACAGGCAAGCAGGGCGTAGTGGTGCAGGCCTTTAATGCCAGCACTGGAGGCAGAGGCCGGCAGATCTCTGTGAGATCTGGTCTTAAATAGTGAGGTTCAGGTCAGGTGAGCATACTGGGAGACCCTGTCTCCAAACAAACAAACAAACAAACAAACAAATGCAAAAACAGGCCAAAAAAAGTCAATGAACCCACACTAGGCACAGGTCAGGAGGGAGTTAAGACAAGAAGACTCATAATCTCGCTTGTAGGGTTTTCATCAATACCAGGAATAAGATAAAGGCAGATCACGCCCTCTTTGTGTGGTGCTGGGGCTGAATCTGGGCCTTGTGCATGATGGGCAAAGGCACTTTCAGACACCTCTCTCCCCTCCCCCAACCCCTCTCCCCATCTCACTACGTAGCCCAGGCTGGCCTCACTTGTGGCAATTCCTCTGCTTTAGCCTCCTGATCATAGGTTGTGGGCCACCATACCCAGCTTAGATTGTTCTGAACTGATATAAAAACCCTCCAGTATTAGACAAACAACAACGACCCTAAAACCTTAAAAAATTTTAACTGGAGCTAGTGATATGGTTGGTTCAGTGGGTAAACCACCAAGCCTGAGTTCGACCTCTGGGCCCCACATGATGGGAGGAGAGAACCAACTCCTGAAAGTTGTCCTTTGACCTCCATATGTAGACACCACACACACACACACACACACACACACACACACACACACACACACACAGAGAGAGAGAGAAATAAATGTACTAGAACATTTTTGAGCTGTTGAGGCTGGAGAGATGCTCAGCAGTTGAGAACACTTGTTATTCTTTCAGAGGATCTGGTTCAATTCCCAGCACCCACATGGCGGCTAACAACTGCTTGTAACTCCAGTTCCAGAGGACCTGACACCTCTTCCGGCCTCTGTGGGCACTGCACACACATGGTGCACTTACATACATGCAGGCAAAACACTCATTTCTTTTGCGCTGTCAATTTTTTGCATGTTTCTTCTGTGGTGCTGGGAACTGAGCCAAGGCTTCACACACTCGGCAGGCACTCTACCACTGAGCCACCTCTGCAGCCCTTAACTGTTAAATCTTTAAGCAATTTTTAGGAGTACAAATCTGAGAGTATATTTAAATTAAGACACTAATTAAAATAGCATTTTTGAGACAGGGTCTCCTTGTAGCCCCAGGTGGCCTGGAACTCACCATGTAAACTAGGCTGGCCTTGATCTCACAGAGATCCATCTGCCTTTGCCTCCTGAGTGCTGGGAGTAAAGGTGTGAGCCATACATACCTGGTTCATGAACTCTGATTTTAAAAAGTAAAACATGGACCTTGGAAAAATGGATTTGGATTTAGGTCAGTGAATTTAGAAGTAACGTAAAGTTCTAGTTTTCAAAATGAAGACATCAACTGCTGAAGACAGGTGCCAGACAGACCTTGTAGATGCTTCATGTCTCCAGTAAGTTTCCAGAAGTACGAAGGTGTGTGCCGTTAGCCTCACCTCCCACCCACACTGCTTCAAAAATGTGTGGAATGGACATTTTCACAAGGAAACTAAACTCTAGCACTTGGCAGGCTGAGGCAGCTGCAAGTTTGAGGCCAGTGTGCGACAACGCAGCGAGTTCAAGACCAGGCCAGGACACTTGATGAAACCCAGTTTCATCCTCCACTCTCAGCCCCCAAGAGAAAATCAAGTCTGGCAGTGATGACACTGAAGGCAAACCAGGCAGTCACGGTCCCCAGCAAGAAAGAGTCAACTAGCCCTCAATGTGAACTGACGCTGACACCTGCTGTTGGGACCATGAGGGAGGCTGGTGCACTGTCTCTGACTTGGTCAGCACCCAAGTTTACCTTTTGCCATTCTGAAGGAGGATGTGCAGTTTGCTTCTGTCGACGGAGGAGTGCTTGGGGTCCACCAATGCATCTAGGGTCTCGAGGATCAGTGGCTGCAGGATGCTAAGTTTGCCCTGAAGAGTGTTGATCTAGATAACAACATGGCCTTTCATAAGAATTAAAACAATCTTTTTAGAATGTAGGATCAGTGAACCCTCTGCTTAAACACAGATATTTGTACCAGTCAGAAACACGGCGAGCATCTCAGAGCACAGGCCTCCCTGCTGGAACCCTATTTATGATGACTCAGAGCCTATGCCTCCTGCCTTAGAAGGGCATGCAATGCTGCCACCACGCAATGCGGCCACCAGGCTCAGATCTGGTCATCAGGGAATTAACTCTCAGACGTCTCCCTCCATAGTTACTATGAAAGAAATAGGGGATGAGTTCTTAAAACTTCACATTCGTGTTAAAACACAAATTTCACATTTGGTAGTCATAGCCATTTGTTTTATAAACAGAACACATTCAAAACTGATGCAGACAATTGCTTTTTGACAACTGCAACATGGGTACAGTAAGTCATTCGCTCAGATGGTAGAGCTTGTCTAGCATGCATAAAGCCCTGCTTAAACTGGACACAGCGTCACATGACTAATTGCAGTACTTAGTTGGTGCACGAAAACTGAAGCTTAACTTGGACTTTCGCGATATGTCAAGCCAGTGGAAGGTCAAAAGCGTGGTCTTCTTAAGTCAACACACACATGGCTCAGATTCAGCAGGAATGGTCCCATAGTTTACCTAAGATTGAGTTCCTGCAAACCATCTGTTGAACAGCTTAAGACTAATGAATCACACAGCAGAATTGGTGCTGTGGACACCAGCTTATTCAGCTTTATTGCAAAGCACAACTGATCTGACACGGGCTGGAGCCTGAAGCTGGGGTGCCTGCTGTAGACCCCTTTATTTTGAATACTGGGCTACTTCCAGGATCAGAAGACCTGGGCTGGGAATCTAATCACATCTATGGCCTCGGTTTCCGAAGGGGACATGAAACCTCTGCCCAGCAAGTGCTGGAGCTGGCATGGCTGGGGCCGTGCAGGGTTCCACTCGGGTCTTTATGAGGCACGCCTGCTCCTGGTGGGTGAGTCCCTCAAGTGGGCTGGGGGAGCGCATGGGAACGGCTTCTTGCCGCTGTGTAGTACCCTTTCAGAGACAGTCTTCCCAGGACCCCAAGTCCCGGCAAGAAGGCTGCACTAGACAATTGAGCTCCCTGTCCCTGTGGCTGACCTGGATCTGTTCCTGTGGCATGAGCGCCCAGGAGCCAGCCCAGCCCGTGCAACCTGTCGCCCACCAGTTTGCGCTGGAGCTGCTCCCCTGCAACCCCAGAAGGCAGGGCAGCCATCAAGGCCCTTGTTGGAGCAAAGCTGGCAAAGAGAAGGGCACTAGGTTCACCCAGTCTCCCTGGCGGCCAAGGCACACGTGCAGACATGCCTGTTTAGCTCTCCCGTTGTACACGCACACATGCAGACACGTCTGCTTAGCTCATCTCTGTTCTATATGCGTCTTCATTTAGCTCGGTTTGGTTGGGTCATATAGTTCAAGAACTAAGTACTATCCCCACTCAGCAGACTTCCTTAGCAAGACTCTGGCAGGGCTGGGCAACGGCCATGGAAATAACTAAAGCTAGCTGGTTCCCACACCATCATTTGAAACCAAAACAAGCTCCCAGCGATCAATATACAAGACCAGGCTTACCCAATATTGCAGGAGGGCCTCTACAGCTCTAAACTCGAATGGTAAGGAGTGCGTGACAAGCTGACCCTCTCCGGCCAACTGTGACGGAAGCTCCCGGAACAGCCACTGCTCTAAGTTTAAGTTACGATAATCCAGTATCAGAAGACACTCTGGCGTGATCACAGCTTTCAGATACTGGAAACAACAGCAAAGCACACACAGGTGAACACTGCACATCATTGTAAGGACGCAAGCCTCAAGCTGAGGGAGAAGGAAGTCACACAGCTGAGCTCATCCGGTTACTAATTCTGGATTAGCACTAACCAAAGCAGTGTTCATTTCGTTTTCCAAAAACCAACAAATAATACAAGTAAGGCACATTTTCACAAAGGGAAATTCAAATACGTGCGCCTTGACAACTCTCAGCTGTTCTCAGAACTGGAATCATACAAGGTAAACTGTGGGGACCTAAAGGCCCCACCTTGCATAGGTCCTAAAGGACGTTGCTGGGGCGCGGCCTGGCTTCCTTTGAAAGTCTGAAGAATACTTCCGCACTGCTGAGGAGTGCATGATCAGTGCGTGACCACCCTTAAGATACACCCTGGCGGGGGGCGGGAGGGGAGTTCCAGGTGCCTTTATAAGCTTTGGAACACTTGCAATAAATGACTCCCAGCTTGACTAGCATCTGAGTGTCCCCAAGTAATGGGGGCGGTGTGGGCTGGCGAACGGCATGCTTACTCATCCCCGATCCTCACCTCGCCAGGGGTCGCGGGTTCAAACCCCTGGCAGTAAACATTCCTTCTAAGAGGTAATTATGGACCGTTTTACCCAGAAAGGTGAGATTATATGTGGATGGCGTGTACCCATCATCTAAGTGACACAACTACCATTCTGGAGCCCCAGCTTTCTCCCTGTGCACCCATCTCTCCCAGAGAGCATGTCCAGAAGGGTGGCCACGAGAAGAGTGAGCAGCATTTTCTGGAGGAAGGACTCACTTGGAAGCAGACTGCTTCCACTGGGACTGTTTGGTTCATGTAGATTGAAAGATGAAAACCTGCCATCAAAGAGACTCTGAAAAAAGCAGAGTCGACCGCAGGGCCGACACCACTGAGGCCCGTGTCTCCTCATCTATTTCAAGACCCTAAGCTTTCACAACCAAAATAACTGAGGCACATGCTGACCTGGAACCATTAAGGAAATACAGTGTGCTCAGGGTGCTGAGCTCCTAGGAAGGGAGAACAATGTGCTTTAAGAGAACTCTGCACACAATTTAAACTAGGCTTCAAGACTCAACAGACCTTCCTGTATAGTGGAAAACCAGGCTTCTTCCTGTAGTAAAGGTTATACTATAATCACACATAACTGGACACAAGTGGGAAAATATCTATTCTAGCTGGGGTGGTGGTGTGTGCCTGTTAATCCCAGCACATGGGAGGTAGAGGCAGGATGATCTGGAGTTCAAGGTCATACTCAGTTCCACAGCGCTTATGGCCAGCCTTGGCTACATGAGGCCCTACATATAAAAATAAATTACCATCAAAATTCTCCTAATCATCTTATAAATACAGACTAAATTGAAACAACAATGAGCATGGTCAGAATTCCCCGACATAAATCTGAGCAGCACCTGCCAGATAAGCAGACGACAATCAGCCACGTAAAACGAGCCTAGCCGGTATGCATGCCTGCAGTTCCAGCACTCAGGAGGCAGAGGCAGGCAGAACTCTGTGAATTCGAGGCCAGCCTGGTCTACATAGTGCGTGAGCTTTAGACCAGCCTGGGCTACAGGGAGATCCTGTCTCAAAAAAACCAAAAACAACAACAACAAGAAAAAATCATACTCTTGTTATTTTCTGGCCTTGAACTCACAGAGCTCGCCTGCCTCCGCCTCCCGAGTGCTGAGACTAAAGGTGTGGCCACTGCACCAGCTAAAGGACCATATTTTCATTCCCGTTCCTTTTACCCAAGATGCTATCGAGACGCTGGGAAGCAGCACAGGGCAGCAGGGGCCAGACAGGGCAGTGGGGGCCAGTGGCCTCACCTCCATCCTCAGGATGATCCTGTTGTTCCTGGAGGTGATGCTCATCACGTGCTGGAACCTCAGGTCTCTGGCCTGCAGTGCCAGCTCCTGGTACAATTCTGTTTTCTTCTTTTCTGTAAGAGAGAGGGGATTACTCCGACAAGTTGATAAGCGTGGGCTCCCACACCAGGGCCCCTCCCAGCACCACCCCCAGCTTTCCCTTACACACACAGAGGTTAAAGCAAATCTTTAAGGGGCTGGAGGGATGGCTCAGCAGGTGACAGCACTGGCTGCTCTTGCAGAGGACTTGGGCTCCCAGCACCTGCATGCCGATCACCACTGCCCATAACTCCAGTTGTAAGGAATCCAACACCTCCACAGGCACCAGGCACACATGTGGTGTGCCTACATATATGAAGGCAAAACACTCACACACCAAAATAAAAATAAAATTTAAAAAAGTCTTTATGGGGCTGGAGAGATGGCTCAGCAGTTAAGAGCACTGGCTGGTCTTGCAGAGGACCCATGTTCAATCCCCAGCATCCACATGGCAGCTAACAACTGTCTGTAACTCCAGGTCTAGAGGAATATGATGCCCTCTCTGACCTCCATGGGCACTGCATGACACAGGGGCACTTACATACATGCAGGCAATACACTCTACATACAAAAGAAATATTCAAGGTCTACTAAACAGTCTTCCTCCCTCCCTTCCCTCACTCCTTTTCTGACAGGGTCTCATGTACCCAAGCTGGCCCTCAACGCTTTACAAAGCCAAGGGATGACCTTGAACCTCTGATTATGGGCATGAGCTTTTGAACCTCTGATTATGGGCATGTGCCACCAGATCCAGTTTTTGTGGTGCTGGGATCAAATGTTGTCCTGGCACGTGGCAAGCTCTCTGCTAAGGAGCTACAGCCCTGGCTTGCATAGCCACTTTTCTTTCTGAGACGGGGCCTCATGCAGTCCACCATAGCTAAGAATGACCTTGAACTCCTGCCTTCACGTCTCAACTTCTGCGATTAGAGTGTGCACTACCACAGCCGGTTTATACAGCGCTGGGGATTAAACCCAGAGCTTCCCGCATGCTGCGCACTCTCTACCAACACCAACTGAACTACATCCCCTGCACACAGTCACTTTTCTCGAACATGAATTTTATTACACCAATTTTTGCCACTATAACATCATATTCAGTACTATGAATCTGTGAACGAATGAGTTTGATAACTGTTTATTCCTGGTGAGAAATAAAACGAGAAAAGTCAGTACTTACAGGAGAGTCTCCTCCCTAAAATTTAAACGTACTAGCTAAGAACACAGCATGTGAGAGACACCCAGGATAGCTGAGGACAGCGGCCATGGGCCGCGGGCCACGGGCCACACTCCTGCCACAGGGATGAAGCAGAACACGCCGGGAGACACTGAGCCACAAACACCAGATCTCAGCAAGCCACACCAGGACCACAGGGCTCCATGGGAGAGGGGGAACTGGGTCTTAAGCCACTGGGGAAAGCAGTATCTAGTTTCATTTTGAAAAGTGGCTATTCACAGAAGGCAGACTGTCATGGGCTGGCCTCCTAGTGCCCTGCCTGCCCTTCTTGTCTTACCCACTGGAACGGCAGTGTGGTGATGGAGTTCAACTTTAAACCTGTTTCAGAAGTAACAGGAAGCGGAGGGCAGTGCAAGGAGACAGACAAAAGGGGAGCAGAAGGGCAGAGCAGCAGCCACGCCAGCTCTGTGCCAAGAGGCTCCTTACACATCCTGTGAGTCCAAGGGCTCTGCCAAAAGGAAGTGGTTCTACCAGAACTGCACCGTTAGGTGCCGCCAGTCCACGGGGGTTGGGGAGGGGAAGCGGGGGTTGAGGAGCAAGAAGTGCCACCAGTCCCGGGAGGACTGAGGGAAAGGTGCTGGAAAAATACCTCCTTCAACACAGCTGTGCACATGGGAACCTTCTACGCAATTCTTTCCAAAGTTCTACCACATTCACTAGTTCACTGACGAAAACAGTGGTTTGGAAGAAAACAAAGATACTCACCGAAAGAAGTCACGTTTCCTTCCTTGTCAAACTTTGTCTAAGGATAGATCATAAAACACAGTATTAATCTCTTCCACTTAGTGTATTCACACACTGAGAAACAGCCTCAGAATACTAACTGCAGTTGTGACTCAGACCTGTCCTTCTCTAAGTTACACACAGTTGAGGAGTGAGAAGAAAAATCCTGTCTGCTGACATACACCTGACCTGCCACCAGGTGTCTGCTTTGGGTGACCATGGCCACTGCGAGCGGCCTATGCTGGACTGGACGCAGGAGGAACTAGAGATGCCAGGAGGGAAGCTGCAGTTGTGCCCTGCCCTGAGTGTGGTGGCTCTTCAGCCTCACTGTGCTCTTTTTGGGGTTCTGGAACCATGTTTCATGGAGGGCTGGTCACAGACACCCTGGTACAGAACTGAGGGGCATGGGACTAAGGCAAACGAATCTTCATATCCTCCTGCAAAAACGTCATCTGGAGCTGGAGAGATGGCTCAGTGGTTAGGAGCACTGGCGGCTCTTGAAGAGGACCTGGGTTCAATTCCCAGCACCCACATGGTGGTTAACAACGTCCATAACTCCAGTTCCAGGGGATCTGACACCCTCTTCTGACCTCCGAGGGCACTGAATGACATGGGTGTACTCACACACGTGTAGGCAATACACTCATACACATAAAATAGAAATAATAAATAAAATTTAAAGTGTCTCCTGCACCTCAGTTGTCAGCAGGTTGGAGAAGCCCAGATGGTGGCAAGGACTTTCTCACCCAAAGAGGAGTTCAGAGTGATCCCCTGGGCTGGGCTATCACTCAGTGGAACATCATGCCACCCTGCCTTGCTGATGTCGGGGCCAACAACCCAAGCCTGGGAACTTAATGAGCACAGGAGTACTTAGTTTGTGCCTGGCTGTGCCATGTACTCACCACAGTGAACACCTGGGCCACGCTGGCTAATGTGGCTTGAGCAGCGTCAGAAGTTCTAAACCGGTGAACATCACCTAAACGAAGAATTGCAGCATTACCCATGACCATGACTGGTTTTCCCAGAGGCTGAGTTCCAACTCTCCTTGTAAGTGGAGCCCTCAGAACACTGTTTTAGAACTCCTTCCTCCAAGAAAATGCAGTAGTGTTCTGCTGGGACTCCAGTACCTCCCACCACCTACCTGTGCTAATTCACACAACTTAATTATCTGAGGTCTGTCCCTTCTCTATGCCACAAAGATCAGCTGGAGCTGAGGTGAACGCTCCGTGGTAGAACACCTGCCTAAATGCACAGGGCCCTGGGTTCTGACTCCAGCAGTGTCCAAAAGTAAAAAATAAAAGTAAAATAAATGAACATTTGTTTACTTAGTGTGTGGAGGGGGTGCACGTGTGAGGAGCAGAGGACAACTTGAGGGAGTTGGTCTTTCTTCCATGTCGATCCTGGGGATTGAACCCAGGTTACCTGCTGTCACCTCCAAAATAAAATTTACAAAAGGAACTGAGAAGCGTCAGGTGCACAAGCTGGCAGAGAGTAGTGTCACCACGACTGCTGTTCTCAATTTCCACCTTTACCGTAAAGGTTCCTCTGGGTTCCCAAGCATCACCAAAGGAGGGACTCGGAGGTAACTAATAAAGGCAGTGTGGGGGGCACTAGTGTGGGGGGCACTGATGGAACACTGCTCACGGAGGGGCACTTTCCAGTAGAATTCAGGAGTGTCTGAGGCTGCTGTCTGTCTCTTGAGAAAGACCCACAACCCAGTGCAGTCCTGTTTGTTTCTGAGTGGAATCTGCACTCACAGCTGTGAATGGCTACCAGGTTCACCAGCAGCAGAAGCCTCCTCTTCTCGCACTGGAGGCCTCTCTGGCTGTCTCTTACACAGCATCTGAAGACAGGCTTTACCGGGGTGAGTGCTCACCACACGGTCTCAAAATTCCTCACCTTCACGGCTAGGTGGGCCCTACCCTATGTCTGTAAATGTGCTCAGTAAGAGAAATGAACAGAATTGAAAACTCTCCATCATGCCAGTTGAGGAGGCTTCTGTCTACATTCCCAGCCCTTTTGAGGCCGAGGCAGTACAACGGCTGTGAATTTGGCTTCGGCTACAAGAATAAGCTCCACGCCAGCCTGGGCTACAGACTGAGACTGTAGAAAAAAGAAAAAAAAAAATCCGCTGGAGAGATGGCTCAACAGTTAAAGAGCACTGGCTGCTCTTCCAGAAGCTCTGGGTTCGAATCCTAACACACACAAGGTGGCTAACAATGTCTGTAACTCCAGTTCCAGGGGGATCCAGCGCCCACTTCTGACCTCTGCGGGCACTGCGTGACACCAGTGCACTTACATGCAGACAATACACTCATACACGTTAAAGAGTAACCAATAAAAATACTAAAAAAGCTGGAGAGAGAGCTCAGGGGTGAAGAGCACTGACTGCTCTTGTAGAGGACTCAGGACAACCGTCCTTAACTCCAGTTCCAGGGGAATCCGAAGCCCTCTTCTGATCTCCGCAGCATTGCACGACACGGATGCATTGACATACATGCAGACAATACACCCATACACATAAAATAAAAATGATAAATAAAATGTGTATCTATTTAAAAAGCCCCTGCACGTATGGAAGCGCCATCAGGTCACCCATTCCTGGGGCTGGAGCCGGCTCAGAGGGGTGGGCCCGCTGTCAACCTGAGGACCTGACTCGGTCACTTAGAAGGGCAGAACCGGCTCCTGCAAGCTGTCCTCTGACCTAATCCCCTTGCACGCTGAATTTAAAACACACCACACAAAAGGAGACTGAGCCTAAAGTAACTCAGCATCTAGGCGGGACCAGGCGGGGCTACACGGAGTCCCGCCAGGGCCGCAAAGGTCAGGCGGCGGCGCAAGGGCGGCGGCGCCCGCGTCCCGCCCTCCTACCTGCGGCCCGGCTCCAACTGAGCAGCGGGGTCGCGCGGCCGCACCAGGCCGCAGGGCTGCGGCGCAAAGCCGCCGCACACAGGGCCGGAGCAGACCGGGCCGCGCGGGGCAGTAGCCGGGGCAAGCCCATGGCGCTGGGTCGACCGCGAGCGACGCCAGCCCGGCATGCCAGACAGGGAAGGCTCCACGCCCCGCCGCCCCCACGCACTGCGCCTGCGCTCACCCCCGTACTGCGCCTGCGCTCACCCCGTACTGCGCCTGCGCGCCCCACCGCCCCGCACACTGCGCCAGCGCTCGCCCCCGTACTGCGCCTTCGCGCCCCACCGCCCCCGCGTACTGCGTCTGCGCTCACCCCGCACTGCGCTTGCGCGCCCCTCCGCCGCACCCCTGCCCGGAGCCGGGTGACTTGCGTCTCTTGTACTGGCTGCCAGGTGGGTCTGCTGCTGTTCCTGGCGGACCTCTGCGTTTGAGCCCTGTCCAGCACGTCAAGGGTCCATTATTGATTGATTGATTGATTGATTGATTGATTGCTTATTTTAATATTTCATTTATTGTTTTTATTTTATGCGTACGAATGTATCCCCTGCGTGTGAGTGCACCCGTGTCGTGCAGTGCCCCGGAGGTCAGAAAAGGGCGTCAGATTCCCCTGGAACTGGAGTTAAGAACGGCTCCTTGCTGCAATGTCGGTGCTGGGAATCGAACCCAGGTCCTCTGCAAGAACAGTCAGTGCCATCTCTCCAGCCCCATTATTTATTTTTTAATATCTTATTTTTATTTTATCCGTATGGGTGTACTGACTGCGTGGGTTTAAGTGCGCCCGTGTAGTGCAATATCCCTGGAGGACAGAAGTGGGCGTTGAATTCCCTGGAACTGGAGTTGCAGAAGCACACACACAGAGCCAGGAGGCTTTAATCTTAATGCCAGCACTTGGGAGGCAGAGGCAGGCAGATCTCTGTGAGTTCGAGGTGAATCCAAGCTACAGGGAAACCCTGTCTCTAGAATAATAATAATAATAATAGAGATGACTCAGGGGTTAAGGGCACTGGCTGCTCTTGCAGAGGACCCTGGTTCGGTTCCCAGTACCCACATGGCATCTAAGAACCATCTGTAATTCAAATTCTAGGGAATCTGACACCCTCTTCCGACCTCTGGGGGCATTACACCCGACATGGGTGCACTTACATGCAGAAATAATACTCATACACATAAAATAAATAACATGAAGGATGGTGAGTCAAGTTTCTGCTACAGAAAAATGAGAAACTGGCAAGAATGTTGGCACAGCTCTTAATTTCAGCCCTTGGGAGGTGGGGACTAGGGGCTCCCGAGGTCAAGGTCATCCTCAGTTACTGAGAGGTTTGTTTTTTTTTGGTCTGTTTTGTTTTGTTTGTTTGGTCTTTTTGAGACAGGGTCTCCCTGTAGCCCCAGCTGTCCTGGAACTCACTATGTAGACCAGGCTGGCCTTGAACTCACAGAGATCTGCCTGCCTCTGCCCCCCCCCCAGTGCTGGGATTAAAGGCGTGCGACACCATGCCCGCCCAGCAGTTATTGAGAGTTTGAGTCCAGCCTGAGTTACATGAGACCCTGTCTCCACATCCCTTTCCCTTCCCTGAAAAGAAAAGAAAATGTGAGTCAATAGATTTGTTGTCCCCTCCATAGGGGCAAAACCCACCACAGACACAAGATCCACAGATTTCCCTTCATTGTCTGGGAACGAAGACGTAAGGCATGACAGTGAACCATTTATTCTGCCCGGCATCGAGGATGAAGAAGATGGAGTGGGATGACTGTGGACACAGAGGCTCCAGTAGATGTTTGACTTGGACACAGAGGGCTAGTGAGCGCTTAAAGCATTCCTCCAGGTGAAGTCTGGGAAGAACCTTCATTGTTCTGAAGACAGCTAGTAGAGCTTTAATTACTAAGAGCCTTAATGATGTTCTCCGACACGCTCCTTTGAGAAAAAAATCGTAACAACTTCTTCCTCTTCTTCCCCCTCCCTTCTCCTTCACAGGGTCTTCCTTAGCCCCAGCTAGCCTGGAACTTGTTATGTAGACCAGGATGGCCTCGATCTCACAGAGATCCGCCTGCCTCTGCCTCCTGGGTGCTGGGATTACAGCACACCCAGCTATAACTTCTTTTAAATGTATCTTTTCTCCCAGCATAACTCTACAGCTCTAAAACGACCTTGCAAAACCCTGGGCAAATGCTACCGATCATTAGACCCCTGGTCCTGTAATTAATGGCGAGGCTTTAGAAATTAATCTGAAAAGGATGGGAGCCATTGGGGGGCACTGTGAGCACAGAAGCAATGGGTGGCAGGTTAATAGTCTGATTTATTTAAATTTTTAGCAGCATTAGGAAATGGAACCCAAGGCTTTATGAATTTGAGGCAAAGCCCTGTCCAGCCATGTGGAGGTAGAGGGACATTCTCAGCCTTTTAGCAAGTTTGAGTCTAGACTGAGCTCTTGAGACCCAGCCAGCAAAGAAAGAAGCCAGGCGTGGTGGGGCACAGCTTTGATCTGGAGGCAGAAACAGGCAGATCTCTGTGAGTTTGAGGCCACCGTGGTCTACATGGTGAGTTCCAGGTCAGTCAAGGAGATAGTGAATCTGTCTCAGGAAAAACAACCAAATGAGAAGGTGTTCAGTGTGAGAAACAGTGACCCCCCCACTTCAGAATGCAGGTACTGGAGATTTAGAGTATTGAAAGCAGTGCCCCCCCCACTTCAGAATACAGGTACTAGAGATTTAGAGTATTGAAAGCAGTGCCCCCCCCCCTCCAGAATACAGGTACTGGAGATTTAGAGTATTGAAAGCAGTGCCCCCCCCCCTCCAGAATACAGGTACTGGAGATTTAGAGTATTGAAAGCAGTGCCCCCCCCCCTCCAGAATACAGGTACTGGAGATTTAGAGTATTGAAAGCAGTGCCCCCCCCCCTCCAGAATACAGGTACTGGAGATTTAGAGTATTGAAAGCAGTGCCCCCCCCCCTCCAGAATACAGGTACTGGAGATTTAGAGTATTGAAAGCAGTGCCCCCCCCCCTCCAGAATACAGGTACTGGAGATTTAGAGTATTGAAAGCAGTGCCCCCCCCCCTCCAGAATACAGGTACTGGAGATTTAGAGTATTGAAAGCAGTGCCCCCCCCCCTCCAGAATACAGGTACTGGAGATTTAGAGTATTGAAAGCAGTGCCCCCCCCCCTCCAGAATACAGGTACTGGAGATTTAGAGTATTGAAAGCAGTGCCCCCCCCCCTCCAGAATACAGGTACTGGAGATTTAGAGTATTGAAAGCAGTGCCCCCCCCCCTCCAGAATACAGGTACTGGAGATTTAGAGTATTGAAAGTAGTGACCCCCCCACTTCAGAATACAGGTACTAGAGATTTAGAGTATTGAAAGCAGTGACCCCCCCACTTCAGAATACAGGTACTAGAGATTTAGAGTGTTGAAAGCAGTGACCCCCCCCCCACTTCAGAATGCAGGTACTGGAGACTTAGAGTATTGAAAGCAAGACATTTATTTTTGGTTGTGTTGCTTGGTATCAGCCTGGACAAAGGCAGAAATGACTGGTGCACTAATTTGGTGCAAAACAGTAACTTTTACATTCCTGTGTTTCTTTGCCCTTCAAATCTCTCATTAGCTGAGTTCAGGGAGGTGCAGTCTTCACAATGTGTCTAGCATCACCTCGCCCCAGCTTCCCCATCTACGCGTTCAGGATGCAAAGCAGTATCTAATGAATATGCTGGGCTCCAGAGCCTTTCCTTTTCTGACCTGGGCTCAGTCATATAGCCGACCGAACCCACGTGTCAGCTGTAGGAAAAACAGCAGACTGATCCCACCTGTACCTTTTCAGCTGTCAGAGAAGCAGCCCTCCAGGGAAGATGGGTGATTCTCTGATTAGCTCTAAACATACCTCATATTGAAAATGGACTATCATTTCTTACCATTAGGTATGCGATGAAAATTGAGAGTTGCCTACACCCCGCTTGGTGAGGCACTTCAGAATTACAGTCATCTTGACAGGACCACCTTTCGTGGGTTGGTGAGGATTGGGAGCTGGATCACTATCTTCCTTTTCACCCCAAGCCCCAGCAGGACCCCGATGTTTTCTGCAGCCATTTAACAAATTAACCCTACCTGTAGCTCCCTGTAAGTTGGATTCCTAACAGCCTCACACTCTGGATTGTGTTCCTACCCAGAAGTGCTTCACCCCTGAAATGGTGTACCAGAAGCTGGCTCTGACCAGCTTCCCACCAGACCTTCCCAGCTCTTCTTCTCCTGCCAGTGAGGATTATATAACTGGTCACTTGAAACCACTCTGACTAGGACTTGGAGCGTGGAGGACCCGAGGGTGTGACCTAGAAGCCACTTTATTTTGGTCCTTCACAGTCCATTTCTCCTACCCTGAAAATGTGGGCAGGCGCCGTGCCTCTTCTGGTCCTGCAGCTCTGTGTTCACTCCTGTCTCAATTCTCTAGCTTAAAATGTTCAATCCATGTGTTAATTTCAACTCAGTATTTTGCAATGTTAGTCCAACATGTTGATTGAGATTTCGATCTGCATTCTAAAAGACATGCCCCGCCCCCACCACTTTGTGATCATGGAAACATGAGAATTTTTTGTTTGTTTTTAGTTTTTGAGGCAGGGTCTCACTGTGTAGCCCTGACTGGCCTTAAACTCAGAGGCCTGAACTCGAACCAGGTCTCTGTCTCTTGAGTGCTGGGATGAAAGGTGTGCACCACCACACTGGCCCAGCCAGATAAGAGTTTTGGGAGCAGGTAGAAATGATGGTGGTTCCCTCCCTCTGGTTCTTTCTCTCCCTCTCTCCCTCTGTCCTTCCCCACCTTTTCTTTTTTAAAGACAATCTTACTCTGTAAGGCTGGCTTCAAACTCACTGCAGTGCCCCTGCCTCAGCCTCCTGAGTGCAGGGTTACCAGTGTTCACCACCAGGCCTGGCTTCCTTTCTTGTTCCATGCCAGTGGTTTCTGATTGTGCTGGGTGCAGAGGTGGAGTAAGATCAGTCTTCGTTGGAAGATGGCACCATGCTCCATGGTGGGGCAAATGCTAGGCTGGCTCTTATGTGCAGTCATGTCCTTCCCAGCCCTCTCCCCTGAGCAGTATTGCTATCCTCTTAGTAAGGGCAGACCCTGCCAGTCATTTTGAACTCTGTCCCTTCTTACCTCTAATGGCCAGGCTCCCTCTCCCTGGGCTGCTGC